ATAGGTGAAGTAGAGTTCGTATCCACAGGGAAAGGAATAATTTATCTTTTTATGTAAATAGTAAATAAAAGGGGGTTTTGATCGAGTGATTTGATTAAAATTAAACACGAAGATGAACGAGTTATATGGGATTTAATTCAAAGATAAAAGTGACTTGGCATTGCTACTTTCCACTTGTTGATATATTTTAGTCGATCATTGTTATATCTATAACTTATCTCCTCTCGAATACTCAATCGAGGAGTATATCCAATTCATCGAGGATAGTTATTAACAACAACCGTTCATTAATAACCCTTACTATTAGTCAAGTATAGAACAACGCCATATACCGACTTGATAGTAGCATTTAATCTTTTAACTCCTTGATGAAATCAATTGAGATTGATAACCTCAACACAACGGTTTCGGTTTAACCAACAAAATTAATCCCTCTTAAGTTTATTAACCACGACCGTGCATTAATAAACCGAAGTTACTTACTTGTGAAACTATCAACGATTAACCATCGGTTCGTTGATCGTTTCTAGTAATAATTAATATGTGAAACAAAACTAGTTGATCCTTTAAGTAATGTTCAAAATATTAATATGAAATATGAATAGGGATTAATTAATACTCAAGGAAGAATATTAAAGAAGATGAATCCTACTATGGTTAATATCAAGATGTTAACTAATTGTCATCTTAGTAACACTCCCCGATATTAACATAGAGGAAGGAATAGCTATTACTATGACCAATGTCAAGATGTTAACTAATTGTCATCTTAGTAACACTCCCCAACATTGATATAGAAATAGTATTTAAAGGAAGAATTAATATTCAAGGAAAAGAAGTTAAGAAAATAACTCACAACTTTAATAATCAACAAGCTTCAAGAGCAATACCAAGAAATGGAAGTTTAGCTCCTCATTTGGAGACTAAACATGCTAAAAGAAATATAAAGAAATGCTATTCTAAACTGAGCTTAAGAGTATAAAGGAATTGGTGATCTTATTGTGAAGGAAAAGGGGTGTATTTATAGGTGTTTGGAGGTAGCAGGGTGGTGTACCCGACCGGGTATATAGGGTACTCGATCGAGTATTTTAGGCAGTTTCCCGGAAAATCACTTTTCTAGACATACCCTATCGGGTATGAAGGCATACCCGATCGGGTATGAGCCAAATCTTCAAAATCCTGCACGTTTTTTTGTCTCTCCAGATCTCTCCAGATTCTGATTTTGACACCCGAATCAACTCAATACCCGATCGGGTATTGCCTATACTCGACCGGGTATATGAAATATTTTTTCAATCTTCTTTTGATCTTGTCCCCTTGCACTTTCCTTGATCTTTTGGGGTCCAAACTTGATCCTTTGGATGATCTTGACTTGTTTTAAGCTCAGAATAATCCTAATCCAAACAAATTACATCTATTTAAGAAAATTAACTAATTACACCAAAAGTGTGTATTTTTCCAAACAACAACAAATAAAACTAGTTAAAATAGAAATAATACATGATAAAAATACAACTCTATCATAGATCCTATATCTTTCCATGATGACATTAATTGTGACCAATCGATTCATTGGAAAGAAGCCATGAATGAAGAACTTCTTTCCATGAAGAAGAATAATGTTTGGGAACATGTTGAATTACCAAAGGGTCATAAGCCTGTTGGAAGCAAGTGGGTCTTTAAAACTAAATTAGATCCAAACGGAAAGATTGAAAGATACAAAGCAAGATTGGTCGCTAAGGGCCACACTCAAAGGGAAGGTGTAGATTATCAAGAGACCTTTCCACCTGTCTCTCGAAAGGACTCCCTAAGGGTCATTATGGCTTTAGTAGCTCACTTTGATCTTGAGCTACATCAAATGGACGTCAAAACAGCCTTCTTAAATGGAGATTTACACGAAGATGTTTATATGATATAACCAGAAGGTTATGTTTCTAAGGTTCAAGAACATCTAGTGTGTAAACTCAAGAAGTCTATTTATGGGCTCAAGCAAGCGTCTCGACAATGGTACCTCAAATTTGATGAAGTCATGAAATCAAATGGCTTCATGAAAAACAAAGTAGATCAATGCACTTATCTCAAAATGAGTGGGAGCAAATTCATCATACTTGTGTTATATGTTGATGACATATTATTAGCAAGTAGTGAACTGGATTTATTGCATGAAACAAAACGCTTAATATTTGGCCATTTTGACATGAAAGATCTAGGTGAAGCTTCTTATGTTATAGGCATTGAAATTCACCGAGATCGAGTCAAAGGGACGTTAGGTTTGTCCCAAAAGGCATACATTGAGCATATTTTAGAACGTTTTAACATGCAACAATGCTCTCCATCAGTTGATCTTAGAGGGTTTTGGCGATCTTTGGCGATTGAATGTCGGAGAAACCGCGCTCGGAGGGGGTATCTCAGCCCTCTCCACCGGAGATCAAAGGTTGGGGGGAAGATCCTTTGCTGCTGTTGTTGCTGGGGAACAAGCTGCTGATCCTCCATTGACAAAAAAGGCTCCCTCGAAATACAGGGAGGTTCCTTCAGTCGTTTTCCCAGATGTCGATGTGCAAACCCTCGCGGACAAACATCGAAGGGCACTGGTAGGATATTTTTTTTTAAAGGAAGCCCGACTATGAATACTTTGCGTAAAGCTTTTGAGATGATAGGATTCAAGGGCAGTTTTCAGATTGGAATTGTCGATAAGAAGCATGTGATTATTAGATTTGAGTTAGAGAATGAGTATCTCCGATGCTGGAACAGGCAGAATTGGGACATCTTTGGTAATGCTATGCGCGTTACTAAGTGGACATCGGAGTTTCAACCTAATGTCGAATCACCGGTGGTTCCAATTTGGTTAGGCCTTGAATCTTTTCCGATTCATCTCCATGATCAACGGGCTTTATTTGACATTGCTAGATTAATTGGAAGGCCTATTAAGACTGACGCTGCTACAGCATCTTTTTCAAGACCATCACTGGCTAGAATATGTGTAGAAGTGGATTTAACAAAGGATATGCCTAATAAAATTTGGATTCAATGTGGAGCGAAGGTTTCTTTCAATCAGTGGTCTATGAAAATAGACCTTTCTATTGTAATCATTGCTTCCATCTTGGTCATTCTATTAATGCATGCCCAAAAAAACATGTCCCTACGGGCAATGCTATGAAGGAGGGTGCATGCACTGAAAAATGGGTTGCTAAGCCTAAGACTACTCTTCAAACAAATACTACTGCAACTATTACAGACAGGGAGATAGGGGAAGGGAGTTTGGTTACAAAGCCTGAAACACCATCAAATAAAGGAAAAGGAAAACTTTTAGTCAGTGAGCAAATGTTACAACACTTGGATGTCTCTAACTTTCAGTCCACTTCCAAAGGTGCAGATGAGAAGCCGGGAGATACTGATTCAGAAGTGGAGGAGGTATATACAGAGATTTTGCTTGTCAAGGAAGCACCTGAACACATCATTACAGATTTTGAAGTTCCCACACATCAGAACTCAATTGTGGATGGAATATCCCCATCCACAATGACAAAATAAAAGATATACGAATAATGGAAGAAAGAAGAAAAAAATTTACTTTGACAAAGAGGATGGAACTTCCATCCTCATAATTTACAAATATTAACGCCCCGTACTATACCGAAAAAGTCGATTAGATCCTCATATTTTACAAATACTCAATTAAGTACTCGAACTATTAAAAAAACGTTCAATTAAGCTATTTTGGTCGGTAAGTAACGGTTTCCCGGTTAAATGTAACCCGTTTCCCGGCAGCACATAGTACGGGGGCTTATTTCATGAACTTATAATTATAAACTGAACGAGCCTAGTTCAGAGAAATTGAGAAGTCAATTCACTTAACTTTTGAAATCGAATTTAAAGAGGAAAGCACAAATGAAGAAGCTCTCACCTGCTTTGCTGAGCGACTTTCAGATGAAAAGAAGTTTAGAAGAACCAACTGAAAACAGAAAACCTAAACAAAATTTCTAAATTCCAATTGTGCGAGTTTTCTGAACATGTTTGTGTGCAATATATTTTGATTCTCTAGAAGAAAGGAAATGCATATCGACTCTTGAATAAGTACTAGTATATGATATGATAACAAATTAGTACATATTTTACTTGGAAGCATATTTCCGATTATTTTGTTCATATGGTTCTTTGAGTACTTTTTTCATTTTTAGATTTTTTTGTACTGCTTCCAATCATGAAATTCAATGGCAAGTTTCTAAGTTGTGGTGTGGTTGAAGGGAAGTTAATCAGTTAATGGTTGGATCCGTGGTTAGCTTAATTAAAGAACTTCAATATGGAGACCTGCCCTGTAAATTACTCCATGAGATATTAGGTAATGCAAATACATAATGGTAAGCTCCAAATTAAAGCATGTACATTTATGAAATCCGAGCTCAATTTGTAATAAGAATGAAGTAGTGAAAAAAATGTGCAAGTTCGTTTAAGAACATGAATTTATACCTTACTTTTCATATATTTAGATCCTTCTGATCTATTTTTCAAACCTCTTGCTTCTATTGAGTAAAATTTTATGGTAAAAGCAAGAACCTTTTTATAGTCTTTTAATTTTTCAACCCCTTTCTAAATGTAGATCACATATGAGATATGATCTATTTTCATATTCTGGATTATGTTTAAAACATTTAGAACCTGTTTGGTAACACTGGAATCGGCTGAATCGATTGAAGATAACTTGGAATAGCAGCTCATCAACCGCTCAGGGACCAATGAATGAAGATGAGGTGCAAAGGTTGGATTATTCATGAATATCGAAAATGTGGGACTATTGTAAGAATACCGCTAAAAGGTTGGATTATTAGTTTCCATTTTCCCTCTTAACATATGTTTAATTATTTGGATTGGTTTGTCGCAAACCAGAACGGATCAAATTTAAATAGCTCAAGTTAGACTTTGATCGTTATAAAACACATAAAAACTACAAATTAAAACTATGTCTAATTATGTACTAGATTTAAACAGACTAGATCAAATCAGGAAATTTCAGTCTAATTAAAAACATCCTTAAAAGCACATACTTCAAACTACAAATTAAAACTATTCTTTTTTTGGCAAAAAAATTACAACTATTCTAATCACTTAAAATTTGAAGGTAACAATAATAAAAAGGAAGCAGAGAAGTGAAATATAAAATTTAAACAGAATATATGTGAAAGGGATTAAATAGATGTAAAATGTAAACAGAAATGTTTCACCATCTTCAACAATAATCCATGCAGCTCCAGCATTGATGTTGTAACTCCCCAAGCTTTATGATTTTCTTCAAATGCAAAAACTTCCTTGACACATACCTATCACATGTCCTTAGTTTTCTGCATTTAACAAAGAAGAAATTACCAAAAGACGGGAGTATGGGGTCTGACATGCCAAAAGACGGGAAAGTGATTTAGGTACCAAAAAATGGGAGTCGGAATTCGGGAATCCGACTAGAGATTAGGGTTTCATAAATAATTTGAAACCCCTAGTCGGAATTGGGGAATCCGACTAGGGTAATATTTTTATTTTTTTTTTGTTTCGAATAGCTGAGGTGTCTAATAGTTCCAAATAATTTGAACCACCCCTAGTCGGAATTGGGGAATCCGACTAGGGTAATATTTTTATTTTTTTTTGTTTCGAATGAGTGAGGTGTCCAAATAATATTTTTAATTTTTTTTGTTTCGAATGGTGAGGTGTTTAATACTCCCCCCTCCCGAAAACAACTTCCCACTTTCCTTAAATGGATGTCCCAAAATTAACTTCACACTTCAATACTTTCCTTATTTGGCAAATTATCTACATAAAAAAAGTGATAAACAGTGTCAAACAGTGTTTAAACAGTGCCAAACAGTGTTTAAACAATGCCAAACAGTGTTTAAACAGTGCAAAACAGTGCATTCTACAGTAAAGTCAAATTTATTTCCTAAAAGTGTGTGAAAGTCCAATCGGGAAGTTGTTTTCGGGACGGAGGGAGTAATCCAAACTTCCAAAAAACACCTAGTCGGAATCGGGGAATCCGACTAGGGTATTGTGATATTTTTAATTTTTTTTAATGTTTCGAATGGGTGAGATGTTTAATAATTTGAACACTTAAAAAACACACTCCAAAAACACTTCTTTCTTTCTTAACATACCATCCGCACATACCATATTCACCCAAAAACACTTTAATATATTCATTATTTTTTTTTGTTTACCACTCTCCTCTCATATTATATTTATAATATATACCATATATAAAAATGTCTAGTGAGGGTAATATTGTTGTTATGGTTCATTGGGATGGCTCTACATCTCAAAAAGATGATGAAATAGAGTACTCCATACCTCCTAGGGTGGTACTATGGGTTAGTGAAGGAGATGATTATACTACTATACATGAGAAAGTTCTAAATCATGTTAGAGGCGACGGATTTTCCGAAATTAAATTAATTCACGGAAAATTGCCAAAGTATAAGAATTCAGTATATGTTGCTTCTAGATTATGGCCCATTCACGATGAGCGGAATTTATAAATTTGTTCAATTTAGATTTAGAGTTCAAATTTCAAATTTATGAATCATTGGAATTTTAGAGTTGAACTTAGCTATAAAAATCTAGAAATTTAGAAATTGTGATAGATTTAGGATTTGAGTTCAAAACCTTTGAATTTATAAATTTGTTCAATTTAGATTTAGAGTTCAATTTCGAATTTATGAGTTTATAACTACTTATTTTAGGAATTTCAAATGCACCAAAACATTCCGCGCCCAGGGCCTGTTAAACGTTCACTACTCACGTTGCCACTGTGTGCCCACCGCGCGAGTTATGAGGACTGTCAAAAACGACTACAGCGGATGGCCCTGGACGTAGGTGATGAAGACATGCTCCACCGGGGCATATTCCATTATGAAGATGAAGGTGGAAGCGAGCAAGAGGATGATGCAGATGAACATGAAGATGGGGGGTGAACAATCACAATCACCCCCTCAACTCTCAACACGTCAAGGTGTCTCATTTGATCAACCACTGACGTGCACTTTGTCGTGTATGCACTCAAAATAATAATCCAAGTTTACTACCGTGAAAGGACCGAATTAATAACAAACGTATTAATCGACCGATTCTAGTATTAATTAATATATGAAACAAAACTAGTTGATCCTTTAAGTAATGCTCAAAATATTAATATGAAATAAGAATATGAATTAATTAATATTCAAGGAAAAAGATTAAAGAAAACAACTCACAACTTACAATTCATTAAGCTTCAAAGTAGCAAAACCAAGATGGAAGAGTTTAGCTCCTCATTTAGAGACTAAACATGAAGAAATTATAAAGAAATAACTTGTCTAAACTGAGCTTAGAAGTATATAGGAATTGGTCTTTTATTGTGGAGGAAATGAGGTGTATCATTTGATCAACCACCGCCGTATTATGATTCTTATCAGTACTCCACACAGGCAGGTAATTATGTTGAGTCAATTCTGAATTCGTCGTTTTATTATGGAGACACAACGAGGACTTGGAACACTGGTGGCGGGGACGGAGCAGGGCCGAGCACGCAACGTTAGATGTAGTATTAAATTTAATATCGTATGTACTATCTATTCATTAATAAATTACTGTCTATTCATTGTTTTGTTCACTTCCATTAAAATTACAAAAATTGCACTTAAAACAAATTCAGATTTGTATCTCATTTTACGAATGGATTAAATCAAAATTGCACTTAAAATTACAAAAATTGCATTTAAAACAAAATTCACAACACAAATGGATTAAAAAACAATATAAAGCAATCAAATGTTTTGTTACTCAAAAAATCAAAATGCATTATTTTCATTTTAAAAAATATGACAGGAATTTAAAAAAACTTTTAAATTTGGAATTGATAAAATTAATTTAAAACTTTAGTTTTAAGTTTTTTTTTATAACCGAGTTTTAAAAATTTGAAAATCAAAGAGTTAAGAACTAAGAATTCGGCCAAAAAAATATAAACTCCTCCTTGTCGGATTAGCCACTTCCGACAGGAGGGGATTTTTGTTTTCAAGAACCATGCCGCTCGTCGGAGCAGTTCCGACTCCCCTTTTTCGTAAACCCTAAAAAAATCCCCGTGTTTTGGCAACCCAATCCAACTTTTCCCGTCTTTTGGTAAAACACCCTTTAACAAAGAAAGATTGGAGAAAGATTGTAAAAGCTCAAGTTAGGCTCCAACATGTTAAATAATGACAATTTTTTCCTTAGAACAATGTACCTACCAACAGCTTACCCAAATTAGCTTTTTCTTGAAACAGATTGAAGAAATATATTTAAGCCGAACAAAAAGGAACGGTAACTAATTTAAGGCATAATGATCAATTACTATCAACCTTAATTCCTTCATGCAATATTTCTTTATTTTTAATAAACATGGGTCTGATACTAGTGTGTAACCTAGATTTTTACTAATAGGGGCGAGATAAGAAACATCTAAACATTAATAAATATATTTATCAAAACACAATAAATACGATTGATCATTACCTTTATATGGAATGAAAGTGGCAAAATCCAAGCTACAAGATGGCTTATAATAATGTGTATATTATGCACCATCACAGAATCTTTTAAATAAAAAAATGGAACCCCAAGGTTTTTGAAATGTAGGGAGATGGATTTCCCGTTTCTTCTTAATTATGCAAACGACCCCAAAACGATAATTTGAATTTTTGAGTTTCTGAAACGTTTCAAAGTTTCTGAAACGCGGAAACATAAGTCACAGAGTTTTCGTACTTCATAAGTGGTGACCGGTCACCCTTAGGATCCTCTGCCGCACGGCAGAGTGCCTTGCGGCAGGGAGGCCGTCAGATGGAAAAAATGATTCCTCGAGATACGAACCTCAATATCTTCAGCCGTTGAAATATTGATCAAAGTATCGGACGACTTCCGAAGGCCAGGTGGGTGCCTTACTCGGAAGTAAGGGAGACAAACGGGATCCCTACCTCTTTTGCTACGTCCTTTTGTGATTTTATGTGGATACTAGAAAAGACAAAAACAATTCTAAAGGGCACCTTCCAAAAGGACGTCCTAGAGATTCCATAAGGACATAAGGTTAATGCGTACGTAGTAGCAAGGTGGTCCTACCATCTTCCTCTAGCACACGCGCTTCATCAAAATTTACACCATATTGATATACTCGTCCTCTTGCTAGGTCATTGTACCATCACTTTGCAAACTGCAAACCCTAATTAATTACTCCGTAATTTTTCTGAAGATAAAGCAGGATATAAATGCATAGCCACAAAGCCTCGGAAAGGCTAAAGTTTAAAAGCATATGTAGGTTATGATTACTGAAAAGACAATAATTCTCTTTCAACTAACGTGATCTACTCTCAAACAAAAACTAAATTCTATCCTGAAAAGGTTGACCAATTTTCCTTTTTTGGATGTTCCAAAAAGATTTGTCATTTTCATTTAAAATAAAGAATATGTGGCTAAAGTTAATTCTCTCCTCTACACAAATTTTAATATTAATCCACGTGAAAGTGATCCAATCTTTTCCAACTGCAAATAAAAAGCTTCACCGTTTCATCCTAAAGCCTACACAGTACACACAACGCAAAACACCAACATAAATGCAGGCAGTCAATGAGAACAAAAATACACCGAGGATACATCAAAATGGAGTGCACTTTTAGAAGATGGATCATGGATGCATCAAAGTGTCACTGGTAAAATTATTCAATGGAGGGAAACATATCGTTCGTCTCCTAATACCTAAATCGGTTGTATTGACAAATACTGTTAAAATTTAAGTTCTAACTCAAGTGACTAGATTGACAGATTCTGCTGATTTATGAAAATATTACATATAAATCATATTATTGTAATTAAAAAAAAAGAAAAAAATATATGAAAAAACAGTTAAAATGATCATTTACAGTAACTTCAGCATAAATGATCATTTACAGTAACTTCAGCATAAATGATCATTTACCGTAGCATCAACCTCACTAGTTCTTATTACTATGTACTTCCACCGTTCTTTTTTAATTGCAACGGTCAACATTTCACACTTGTCAATGCACATCTTTGACCGTAATTATATCTTAATCCCTATTAGTAAAAGATATTTAAAAATTAGATTTTGAAAATTTGTAATGAGATGAATTGAACAATATAATTTTAAAAAAAATAATTTTCATAAAATAATAATATAAAATGTAGTCAAAGTAGAATATGTGAATAGTGTAAAATTCAACATGTTGCGATTAAAAAGAGATTAAAAAGAAACGGAGGATAGTATTACACAATTCGACGCCCAAAATCAAAAGTTCCATTTTTTGACAAAAAAAGTTGATTAATAAGTCTGATGATAAGTCGAAAAAATTGATTAATAAGTCAAATAAGCCGAATATGGATTTAAAAAAATTACTTAGCGTGATGTGCAATTAATAATTTATTTTAAACAAAAATCTACTGCATTCTTCAAAACTATCAATTCAATTAATCACCTGTTAAGAGAATCTAAAAGTAATATTTAGATATAAAGATTGTAGTATTGAACTCATTAAATTTCTCTATAGCGTGCAATATAGTTATTAGTTGTTCAAAACAGACTTAAATGTTTTGTTAAATACGAAAACACAAGACAAATTCTAGATAGAGACATTACCTAGTCAGGAAACTGTAGAATGAATGAATCCCAGACGGCATGGCAGCTTTCACAAGACGTTAACAGGAAGGATGACCAACGCTCTTACCTTCCTCCTCGCTTTGGGTCTCTGGATTCTGCTCCGGTGGACTGAGCTGCGGCGGTTCTCGTTGGAGTATAACCTGTTGTGGCTGAATCTGAACAATCTGAGTATTTTCATGAGGATGAGATTGCTCCTCCTGAAACGGATAACAAGCATTAGGGTATGCTCCCAAAGCCAAGGACGGCGACATAGCCGCCGTCGGGACAGTCAATTGATGATATCCGGTGGCAGAGACCGGCCCACCGGATTCGAATCCTCCATTATTAAGCCCCATGAGCTCGAGCTGCTGCGGTTGATGATCGTAAGCCCGGAACATCTCGGCCGGCTCCCCAATCATCAACTGATGATGAGATTCCAATAACTGCTGATGTTGGGCAGGGTGTGGATGCGGATCGTGGATCATCATCTGCATGTTATACGGCAAAATCACTCCGGCCCCCGAAGACGGATTCGGGTTATTATTCGGTACAAACCCGGGTTGTGGGAAAAGCGGGGCCAGAGCATTCGGGCCGATGTAAGTCGCCAATTCCCTCTTGGCATTGCTCAGATCTCGCGCGATCTGTTTGAGCCGGTGCTGGAGAACGGAGATGAGTCCGACGCAGCCGTAAACCGGATCTCGCAGTCGATACTCCGCCTCGTACGCGAGCGAGTTAACGGCGTCTTCGCGCTGAGCGGCGTTGAGTTCGTTGAGCAGTTTGGAGACGTTGCTGGCGCCGAAGACCCTGTGGATATTGGCGAACTTCTGCGGCTGGTCCGGCGGGAAATACGGCGCGAAAACGCAATCCTGTGTGCATTTCCGCCGCTGCATCTTGCAAGCCGCGCAGGGAGAATTTGCTGACGATGACATTGCTTTTGGAGAATAAAACAAAAAACAAAAGTAACTTTGTCAATATTTTACTTGAAACTTACGTCGTTTAACTTTTTTTCATCACGACTTGTGGAATTTATGAGCTGAGCATGAATAATACATGGATGAAGCAATGATTGAAGAAGATGAACAATTTGATTGATTAGGATTCTCAGATTGTTAGAATATCGAGTACAGCAAATTTAAGCTACAAAGAAGGTAAAACTGTTCGTAAAAAACGTGTTACACGACTCTTATATACAAAGGCGTAAAAGATTATAAAAATATTTGCATAATAGTCCTTTAACTCTTGTGGCTTTTAATTTGTGTTGCATTTCCATCTTTTATTAATTTCACCAGCGTCCTCTTTATAAGTTAAATATACTTCGTATTTCATGTTAAAAATAGTAAGACAAATTTGATATAAAAAAGCAGTGAGCATTTCCAAAAGTTTTTCAAATTGACTTGTAATCAAGGTATAAAATTTAATAAAAAATTATTTTCAATATGAAAATTATATTAAAATGTTCTTCATTAAAAACATTTTTATAAAGGTACAAATTTATAAACTAAACTCTGTATATATAATAATTGTAATCATTGCGTAAACTTAGCATCATTGATCACCAAAAGTGAATATGACAAATTATTTTTGTCAATCTTTTCTAAATAAAGTACCGGTTACTCTGTAATATTCTATGGTCAACTCCGATATTTTTTAATCTTTTGCTCGATCTGTATTTTATATAATTAATTTCAATCAAAATTGAACTTTTTTGTGACACTATAAGACTTTAAATATACTTTCTAAATATGTAAATTTGATTTACTAACCATAATTTGTGGATTCACACGGATCAATTAACTTTAAAATTGCCATATACTCAATCATGTCTTATTTTAAGTGACAAAGGGAGCACTATCTATCAAAAATAATTTTAAGCTAGAGCTTCTCTAAATATCCGATTACCGTTTTCAGCCTGTTCTTCCAACTCTCGCAACCAATAAAACATGGTAACGAATTCATCATACTTTCTAAATCTGGTAATAGTTGAAACCCTCCAAACATCAATGACAATCATTCAATCAAATCCGTGGTATCAAAAACCATGAACTTTAAAAATATGGAACTCTCAAATACCTAGTAACTAAAACGAATTAATGGACACTACTCTAAATTAACAAAAATAACGAGAATCAAAATTGGAAATCTGAAATCTAAATGAAAAAGTTAACAGTAATCTAAATGCTGAAAAATGAAACTTTAGAGTACTATGAAAACAGAAATTCACAATAGAAATGAACCTAAAAGCTGAAACTTAATACTAATACGAAGCTTAGTAGAGAATTTAAAAATAAACTCAAAATCCGAAATTTGAATGAGAATGTTATACGTAATCTAAATGCTGAAATCTGAAATCTAAGAGCAATTTGAAAGCTCAAATATTCAATGAAAGTGAACCCAAATGCCTGAAATATGAAAGATTATAGTAATATGAAACCTTTAGATGAATTTAAAACTGAATTGGGATCTAACACTAATATAGCCGTAGTCTCATATGAAGTGAAATCTGAAATCTAAAAAATAATTTGAAATCAATTACATGGCAATTTTGATCGAATGAATTCCGAAAAATAATTTTGAAATAAATCTAATTCCGAAAAGATTTTTGAGCGCCGGGAAGAGTACATATATACCTGGAAGAAGGCTAATAGCCCGAAACAACAGGACGATTCCCGACCGGTACGAGAGGCGAAACCGTGGGAGCGAAGAGAGATGCTATTGTAGGGGGAGAGGGTTCATGCTCGAAGGAAGAAAACTAGTTACGTTTTCGGGAGAAGTTAACGAGCAATGCCAAAACACGGGAATTGTTTCAGGGATTCTAAAAATACGGCATTGGGAAGGGTGGATCCCGTGTGAAAGGATGGATTTGACAGGAATAATCTATTTGGAATTCTGAATTCCGAAGGCGTTTTTTTACTAAACATAACCAACCCAATCAAATTAAACATAATTGCGAAGGAGCCCGTTTGGTGACCTCTTTTTTCGACTATTCAGGCTTATTAGTCATATTTTTCATCAAACTTGTAATTTTTTATTTCGCGAGCTGAATTGTGTAATAAGTAATGTTGTAGTTACTTTTATGGTTGTATTGACTGAAGATGATCATTTTAGCTATTTTTAATATAATTTTTTAATTTTATTTATTAATAATAAATATTTTAAATATAATTTTTTCATGAATCACCATAATCAGCCAATACAGCCACTTCAGTCAGAACTTCATAAATTTCAGCAGAATCAACCAATACAGCCAATTTTAGTGTTTTTAAACGGGCTCTAAACTAAACCTAATAATTTTCACTTTGGTAAAAAGAACTTCAAATCGAACCAAACCGAAACCGATCAAAATCAAAACCGAAACACAAATGGTTTTAGTTTGATACAAATTCTCTCAAACCGAATAAATCAAAACCAAACAAACCGAAACCGAAGAAAACCGAACCGTAAACCGAATTGTCCACCCCTATTAGTAAAGAGTTTTTTACGTAAATATTATCAATACACTTTGGGTTTACAAAAAAGTGAGCAAGGGGAATAACTACCAATCACGTACACCAATCTAGGAGTAAATGTAGGGAAATCACTTTGTTCTTTCAATTAGTAATCATATTTTTGTTAGGGTGATTTAAAGTAGTAATATTTGTGTAATTTTTTCATTAGTAAAACCATTCGGAATCTCTAATTCGAATTAGACTTTATTTAAGAGAAATTTCTCAAAATAGGACTAAACAGAGTTTGAAATTCCAACATATGACTGATATGTTTTCCCCCGATAAAAACTTACATAGAAACTTAGAGCCTGTTCAACTACTCTATTTTTCGGTATATCAGGCAAATATTACCCCAAACACATAAGTTTTTTGTTGCATTAATTTATTGTATAAATTTTAGCTATTTTTCATTCAATTTTTTTCTTTATTGTATCAATGAAATGTATTTTAAATCTATTTTTTTTTATAAACCAGTCAAACTAACCAATTTAACCACACAAGTTAGAACCTCATAAAATCAGAGAATCAGTCGATTCAGTCAATTTAAATATTAGCAAATGGCTTCTTAAGCTTCTTGTTCTCATTTAACAATTAAATGTAATACAAACAAAAAGTTTTTATATAAGAAGAAAGCGCCGAGTAATGTAGTGCTCCAAATAAGAGAACAAAAGATTGGGACGCCCAAAATTAATGGGCCATGTTCCAAACAACATGGTTAATCTGCTGTACGCCGGAACTGGAAATTTGAGTCTTCCTCTAATTTAGCTTTTTAAGAACCCTAAAATTTTCCAAAAGGAAAATTATAGATCTCGAATTGGAGAAAAAATAACGCTGTGCTTATTATTTATTTATCAACAATCAAGCAGTTATACTATATTCATTGGTATTATAATGGACAATTATGAAGTGGGATAGATTTGCGGAAATATGGGCATTTAGGATGTTTTTACTTGGACTGTGATTTGCTTGTCTGATCTAGTCTGGTGTGAACTGGTCTGGTCTGGTAAGGTCTGGTTTCTTTGTATTTTTATAACTATCCAAGTCTGATCTGGTCTGGTCTGGACTGGGACAAATTACAGTCCAAATAAAAACATCCTTAAAGGGAGGTTTGTGGAAACGATGATACTCCGTATTAATTATTGCAAATTTAACCCTTCGCTCTTAGGAAATATAATAGGAAATGATTTTATATATCCTTAAGTAACTCTCTCCAAGAAACCATTTTCCTATCCTTATTTATAGAGTAATCATAGATGCAATATATTCAGTGAAGTTTCAAGTTCCCATTTTTTGGGAAAAAACAGCTTGGAAATCCAAGGCTTGGCATGCATGTCCAAGCAACATGGTAAATCAACAAGACAATACCATAAATGCTCATACAGAAGTTTTTTTTATATCCAAGGAAATAAATCATAATGGGTAGGTTTACAACTTTCAATATAGTTTTCAGCCACTTTGTTTATTATTGTGTTAAACCAAAGCAAGACACATAAAATGGGACGAATGTGATGTTTACCAAAGTGGCACTACCGGGGCATGCCGGTGTTACACTCAAGGTTGTCAAAATCGTATTTTTGAATCGAATCGGAATGAGTATTTAAAAATCGAATTGTAAAATCGAATCGTAAATTGTAAGATTTTATGAAATAATTAAATAAAAATTACTAAAAATATTATATAAAATGAAACTTACAATTTAACATTTAAGAAGTCAAACTATTACAAATTTAAGTCTATAAATCAAATCATTATATATTTAAGTCTTAAAATGGTGTGTTCATTAAAGTGCAAAAAATAATTAGCAGCATGAAAATATTATGTAATCCAAGAAGAATAAGCCATTTAAGAAATAAAAATATAGTGTTATAATGAAATTTCATTATATTGAGCATTAGTTCAAATACATTTTTTCTAAAGTGTATTTAACCGGTATATATTTTGGTCAAGGTGGTTAAAAGTTATAAAGTTGGTATTGCATAGTTGCAGAGCCGGTCTTGGCGATTTCAAGGCCTATGGGCGAGTCATCTATAAGAGGCCTAATTTAAAAAAAAATCTATACCCTTCCTCTTTTTACTATCTCATACAGATTCGACCAATTTTGTTACACTTAAAAGTTACTTAAATTATATATATTTGAGGAAATTTTAATTTTTTAGGAAGAAATTTTAACAGTATCACAAAATCATAATCCAATATCATAACCATTTTAACTAGAAAAACTAATACAATTGGCAGTTTCACTATTTGATAAAATGATACTACGTATTTAATACTCCAACAAATTAAAATAGGGGGAATTTGACTTTGCACCCCACTTTTTGAATGATATTGGACTTTGCACCCCCATTTTGAAAAAACTTTGAATTTGCACCTCATTCCACTTAAAATTCCTTTGACTTTGCACCCCATTTAGATTTTTTTTTCACCAAATAGTATGTGTTGGGGTGCAAAGTCAAAGCTTTTTAAAAATGGGGTGCAAATTCCAATATCACCAAAAAGTGAGGTGCAAAGTCAAATCCGCCCTTTAAAATATTGAAACTCAAGATCAAATAACAATATGTACAAATTCACAATTTCATATCTTAACGATTCAACAAGACAACAATTTGTTATCATAACTATTAACTAAAATTGTATTAATATAGTAAGTAAAAAAACATAGATTGGGGACTTAAGAGGTGGTGCAAGTAGAATAACAGAATTGTAGATTTGTAATAACAAAAGTTACTACTTGTTTTCTATTTTTCTTATCGGGCCTTACGATCGAATGAAAATACTAAGTAGGCTCAAAAACTCACCCTACTCAACTTTAGTATAAAGCATAAATATTGGGCCTAATTTCTTTTCACTTTTTTTCGGGCCTAGGGCGGTCGCCCCTGCTGCCCTCCCCCCAGGGCCGCCCCTGCATAGTTGGTAGTGCTAATAGCCGGAGGGTGATGCAGGCATACTGGCGGATCTAGGCTTTACATTTTGGGTGTTCGGACCTAAGTTAAAATTAAAACAATTGCAATAATCATATATACTCAATGTTAATTATTACAAACTAATTCATAAAAAATCATACTATCAAAAAATGTATTAAATTAAATGCCAAACAGAATTTCGGTACTGCACTAGCTAGTACCACTGTTTAGACCAAAACGCTAGATTGTGGAATGAACTGACAATTGCCAATACTAAATTAAATATTAAAGTACCACTTACAAATGAACTGACAATCGCCAAAACTAAATTAAATGCCAAACACAATTTCGGAAGATCGGAAACGTAGGTTTGGACTTCTACCTTGGGATACGACTGGCTGAGTATACTACGTAGTACTAACGGTGGAAAGTTCTGGGTGTTCAGGTGAACACCCTTGAACAATACACCGTCCGCCACTGTGCAGGCAGCAACATCTGTTTGTTACTAGCTCAAGCAATCCGGGCCGTGTTTGGCTTGATCTAAACATGAGTTTTTAAGATCGTAAAGTCAGAAGTAAACGGGATTTTATACAATTTTATCCGATTCAAAAACGATTTTATACGATTTTTAATATTTCCGATTTCTTATACGATTCAGATCGGTTGTATGAAGTTGAATCATAAAATCGTACGATTTTATGATTTAACTCGCGATTTTAACAACCTTGGTTACACTAGTTAGTTCCAATTCATAGTTACATTGATGGAATTAAGATTTAAAAAATAAATTAAGTTGCAAAACTACACTAGTAGTCATATATACTGCATATTAATACTAGAAGTAATAGGAGCTAGAAGTAATAGAAGTAGTTAATATTATTTTTAAAACAAATATTCTTTCTATCTATACCAAACATAATATAAATTATCTAAAAGGAATGGATAAAAGAATTTATTTAAACAGACATATTTAGCTATTTTTGGGATGGCGAATGAATGCATACTTGGGCTATATATAATAAAATCACTTGTTTGAACAATAGATTTATTGAAATGAGAAAAATCTAAAAATCTTGAATGTATTTTTTTGAATGGTTCAATCTGATAATTTTTTGTTCTCAAAATCTAGAATCGGTCTCGTATCCATTTTAAATGGTAAGGTTTTGGTTCGAGATAAAAATTCATAAAATCATTTAAATACGGAGTATAAGATATTCGATTTGGTACCATTACGAGCCGGGCTGGGTCAGTGGAGGTTCGGTTCGGTTTTTATGCCCGCCCCTACTACGTGTGACTTACTTATAGCACAATTCGATTTAAAACATCCTAGTTAAGTAGATGCATATGACTTTAATTATAAATGAATCAAATCTTCCCAACCAACTTGTTTGGGAGGGGATTTTAACCAACTTGTTTGGGAGGGAATTTTTTTTTTCCCAACCAACTTGTTCGAGAGTGCACAGTG